GAATTGCGAAGGTATTTCGCTGGATATCTCTCAATTCCCCGTTTCTCTCATACTTGTAGGAACGAGATCAAAATCTAATGTTAATAAGCAAAACAATCGATCAACCGCACTGCTAGCTTATTTATGTACACTTGTTTATTTGCGCATATAAGCAATAAAAACAAACGACAACAATACCACACATTCAGTATGCGTCGTATGTAATAAGCATGCGCTAAGCTGATCAATTACCCAGGAACTCTATCCAATCTATTCATTAACCCCATTTAATACATGCTTCATTTAATGTTTGCCTCAGATTCAACTCCGTACATAAACAGTGATGTTGATGAACTCGATGATACCTCTGCTCAAATCAAAGCAATCCCAACTACACGATTCTTATTAACAAATGATTAAGGCCAATGGCATCAACTAGAGAATAATTTTACGATTTGCTCTATAATTCTCAAATTTTCGCATGAAACAAACGAATTGATAAATATCTTCTGAATGGCTGCTTGGAATCTTTTTTTTCCGTCATTTCGAAAGTGCATTTCCTATTTTGAATTAATGTGAACATCCGAAAATATCTGAACTGAATTTTTCCCTCTCCTGGACTGACGCTCACTGCTTGAAGCCACGAAGCAATTCGGTATGCAAATTCAACCTCATTCGCGTTGCACAGTCGATGGCTCAATAGAAAAAATAATGTTGGCAGGTGCAGAATGAGTGAACATGACCCCCATAGCGCATTCACCTCGTCGCTTAGAACAGTGAATGTCGCGTCCTCTCCTCTTTTCATATCTCCATTTTACACTACTGGTGGGATCAAATTTCAATAAATTGCTCCTTCCTCTGAATTCAAAACAAACACAGCTCAATTACGGAGTAATAATAATCATCCAGTCCACAAAGATAATCATCCAGCGAAGAGCTAATTGGATAATTCTTATTAATTACTATGAGATATTTCAGATGCACAAATTGAATAATGGTAAAACAGCAACTGATGCTGATAAGCTTGTTCGATCAATTAAAAGCTGTTGGATAATGAATATATAGTAATGCGCAGATTGTTTCAGCATTATTCAGAGCAGCTCATAATAACAGTCTAATTTTATGCTTGAATTATGTTGAAATGCAGTACGTTTTCTGAATTTACACAGTAACAGCAACGCTACTTTGCCTTGTCTAAAGATACGAAATTCAAACCCAAAATAATAACACTAAGCGGAGCTGCATCGGAGGCTGCTCAGCATCCGGAGCTCCCAACCTTATCGTCTATTCTCGAGAGCCCAAATTGTAATTTTGTCCCCAATCTTAACCTTACGTTGAATGTTTAGACGAAGCATTGATGCTCTTGAAAACGCTTAATGGACTGACTATTCAATGACTGAATACGTTAGTTGTTATAAATGTTTAATCACGATGATTACTAACATTCACAATCACGCCCGGACATTTGTCAATCACTAGTTTTGTGTTGTGCGCAGATGTCATTAGCAAGGGATACATTCGCTAATTGCAAGTGTATTTTGCACGGAAACTGCAACCTAGAGAATAGCTCGCTTAACCTCAATATCAATAATAAATTACCATGATTGTATTCGGTCAATGAGACAATACTCGCGAATTCGAAAGAACAACAGAGGATTATGTAAGCAAGAATAGAACAAACCAGTGGGATCGATAGTGAAATACCCAATGCCATCACCATCAACGATCGAATATTTTATTGGTGATACAGAATCATCCGGATCAGTGGCTTGAAGCGCGAGTACCTCTGTGCCGATGGGCTGGTTCTCTGAAATTTGCTTTGTGAGGAGCACAAAAAATTCATTCTGCGTCAGTAAACTGTTTAAACAGCAGGTGCCTAATAACCTCAAACTTTAGGATAACTGAAATATAACCTGCCCCCCCCCCCTCACAAAATATCTTTCAGCGCTACAAAAATATCATCAGTCATTGGGTACATTAGAAGGGTGCTACCATGGGTTTTTCAGTGTTACCTTGGGTTTTTCGGTGCTTTCAGTTTGAGAAAAACTGAACATCTTGTCACCATTTCTCATCAAAATAACAATTCTGTGAACTGATGAATTAGGAAGTGGCACGGAAACTGACCATAAACACTCGCTTCATGCGCGATATCCGAGAATATTGGTGGATGCGCATTCTCGTTAACATCAATCAACTCGACCACCAATCTGCACACAGTGCTGAACGTTGGTTGACCGTTGTCCATTGCCTTAATTAACAGCTCATTGCATTGAATATGCGATATCGACAAACCTTCAACTTATCATTCAAACGAAGCACAGAAGGCTCCATGAACAAAAACGTGTGCTCATCTAAATGTTTTCACTAACAACCAGCATGATGGACTATGAAAAAGAACTCCATGAGATGCTTTCTCAAACATTTTTGGTCATTATCCACTCAGACAGTTAACTAATTCAATCAGTAATTCACGTGAGTGCAGATAAACCTACGAATTAGAACATATGAATGCGATTTGATGGTCAGAGTTCTGCGAGCAGAAAAACTTATCAAACAATGCTGATTGAATTCAATCCTTATAATTTCACTCAGCATTGGTTAAGAAGAAAATTCAACCTTACCTCAACAGTAATATTGTACAGTGGTCTTGTTTCGAAATCGAGAGGAACTGTGGAATCGATAAAAATACAGCCAGTGTCAGGCTGAATTCGAAATGGCAACTGCGATGAGGATTTGTCGAATATCGTATCGAAACCGTACGTAATACGAGCGTTCTCACCGATATCTGCATCAAATGCAGCAATACACGTAACAAGGGCACCATTTGGATAATCTTCCGGAATTTGCACCTGAAATGAGCATATGTTCTAATGCACCAAACCAAAGGAAACATCCAAATAAGACACGTATATCAAGTGAATATTATACTAATAGACACCATCACAAATTCAATGTGATGTATAAGTTGAATTGAGTCAAAATGACGAAAATAACGATAAAATGATTGATAGCAGTTTAGAATGAGACAAAACAGTGTTTCATATGGCAGAATGGCAACAAAAGGAATGATACTTTTTGGATTTGTTCAGCACATCTGGGTGCGTTGTCGTTAACATCCTCAACAATCACCGAAACATTCACGAAAGTGAGTTTCGGTGGATGACCGTGATCGTATGCAACGACTGAGAATCTGAAATTATCGAGCGAATCAAAATTACGTATTTTGGTTGATACGAGTGACAACTGCACACTATGTTCACATTACACTGAAAGATTAGCAATTTCTGACTGCAGAATCATTGACTAGAATGACTAAGAAAAGGAACAATATCGTTTTGAAAGACTATCACCATTCCAAAATCGCCTGTGTCGTTAAACTATTAAAAATGAAAAATATCAACTCATGGCATTATTCACACAAAAAACACGATACCAACAATGTACAATTATTCATAGTGAATTCAACAAAAAATTCGTAGAAAAGAAAGAATAAAACGGTACCGATGCATTTCACTCGTTTCCCTATCGAATTGTTTAAGCAGTCGGATAATACCCTTTCGAGCATCAATCTCAA